GAATGACTGAAGGTGCTGCCATTGCAGCTGGGAGGAGGCTGGGTGGTGGCTCTGGGCCAGAGCTGACAGTGGCAGTTCCTGGAGCTGCATGTTCTGGGCATGTGGGGCTAGGAACTAGGCAGTCCTATCTCCTCCTCCAGAGCCTGCACCAAAGCCTTGTGCATGGGAGCAGCTGCAGAAAGACAAGCACCACATTTTGGGCCTGGCCTGGTTATCCAAGCGAGCATGTTATAAAGAGGTAAGTACTACATACTGGGGAGAGGGGAATGACTCACTCCCATGGACTCCATACTAAAAAAATGCAAAAGAAATCCCCGAACAAAAAGCAAAATGAGAAGCCAAATGGATTGGGAAAAACCTGATTTTTATTTTTTGTAATTTTTTTAGGTTCTTTTTTTTTTACTTGAGCATATCCAATCTCCTTCTGAGGTGGTAGAAGTTGACCCTGCAATTTGTCTGCCCTTGTCTTGGATTGCATCTCCATCTGTGAGACATTTCTCAGCCCCACTGTTTGCCACTAGCTAACATGTCCTGGGTTGCCCTGGCTGCCAGCTGCCTTTGTGCCTGCTGCTGTGGCCAGCTTATGTGGCTTGGGCACAAGCTGACTGACTGTGCAAATAAAGGAGATGAGAGGCTGCCCCACTGGATGGATACAGGTCTTCAACTGCTGCCCTCAGATACCAGCCAGTGCCACCCACCGACACCGAGGGGCTTGCCCTGATTTCTTAACCTGTTGTAGACACAGCTCTGCTCAGAATGCCTCAGGGTTGCCGAGATCTCCAGGAAATCTCATATCACCCATCAAGTAACCCCTGGTTACAGGGTTTGGCCACTCCTGTGCCATTCACAGCTCTCTTCACCTGCCACCAGGAAGGAGGGAGGGAAAAAGGAAGAGCAGGAAGAAGGGGAGGGAAGGAGGAAGAGAGAGAAGGAGGCTGCATTTGGCAGCTACCTCCGGCAGCTGGAGCAGTTGACAGTCACCGTGGGAGAGACCTGCAATGTCCTCAGCAACTTCCACCGCTTCTTTGCCCAGCGGCCTGGCTGTCCTGACAACGTTCCCAGATGTGCTCTTCATCCCTGAATTTGTGAGTTCTGGCTTTTCCCTGGGGAGGGCGGGTGCTGCTTGTGGGGCACCCAGCACACTTCATGCTGCAGATGTCTGAGGGAAGAGACCTGACACCAAGCATGTGGCTCAGGAGCCACACGAGGTTCCTGAGCCACAAGGGTCTAAGGGCAGTCCCTGATGCCTTGCTCAGGCTCACGGAAAATGCAAGCCCTGAGCTGAGGGCTCTGAAGCTCTTCTTCAGTCTGCTGGGGATTTCTGTGGTGCCTCTGAAATTTTTTATAATTTCCTGCCTAGCCAGTGTTGAAGGGTTTGCTGGTGGGTTTAAGCTAGGTTGCCAAATTGAGCCAATTAGTTAATTAATTGGAAGATGATTTTAGCAGCTGATACAGGCAGAGGATAAACTGTTTGCTTAAAGTAGGTGGTAAAGCCTAGTGAAGTAATTGTTCACAGCAGCCAAGAAACCAGGCTGCCAACACTGTACAGCTCAGCTGCAATGTTCCTGAGCTGGAGGTGCAGAGTGCAGGACCTGGGTGTGTGGGCAACAGTGAGTGAGCAAAGGGTGAACAAACACCTTGTAACTTTTTCCTGTATTCAAATTTCATTGAGCAGGAGAAGATCATAATCTTAATGGATATGGCACAGGTGATTAAAAGCAGTTGCTGTGAGCACTTATGGAAGGATGGAAGGTTTCAAGTAGAATGTTTTTCCTGTCTTCTCTGCTATCCGTGAAACCCACTCTTCTCACAGCAGTTTGAGAAGCTTTTTCCAAAGCCTGAGCACTTTCATCCAGCATTGAGGAGTCTGGCTGAGTGTTGTAGGATGACATTCAGATTATTTCATGCTAAAAACTTCAATTTTGCCATCTGGGACCAAATCCTTCCCTGTCTCCCAACTGAGTCCACAGTCCTGGGTTTTACAGCATTTTTTTTTACATTCTTCTCCTAGTGATAGCAAAGAGGAACTGGGTTAAAGCAGGAATTACCCATGTGTGGAGGAGAAAGGCTTTACTTCAGCTCCTCCAAGTATGCTCTAGGGCTTGGTCTCTGTGCCCAGGCCCTGAGACCAAGCTCAGGTTTCCTGGAGCTACATGAAGGAGGATGCAAAGACCCTGTGGGTGGAGGTTCTGACTGAGCAATCTCTTGCCAACCACTCCTACCACTGGCTTGTCTTAGTCCTGATGCTGGTCTTGCTGTTGGTCTTGGCACACTTGCAATACTGGCTGTTCATTGAGTTGTCTGTTGGTAATTCCTGTCTCCAGGGAATTTGGCCGGACAGCTTGCTTAATGAGACAAAAATAAGCACCCTATCCTTTGTTTTGGATAAGAACTGGAAATGTGCATCCTAAAGGCTCAGGAATCACATGGGAAAAGAGAAATGTGGCATAACTGGCTTTTGCCATCCCTGGAGGTTGACCTTAGGTTGTGCAACTAAGTTATCTCTGCTGTGTACAAAGGGGGCGGCTGCCTTGAATCACGGCATTCAAGAAGGGTGGATTTTCTTAATCTTTAGTGGAATCTGGGTTGTGTGCAGTGGGTTAATATGGTAACTAAAAAAATAAAAATAGTTAGCATTTTGAATGCTAAGACAGTGGTAAAAATGCCAGAAGGTCCTGCTGCAGCTCAGCTTGTTGCCACATCTGGATGTGCTAACTAAGAACTACCGGTTTTGTCCTGTGAGACTGGGTTTAATTCTTGTAATCTGTTCTATGTGAAGATTCTTGGCATGGGTGGATAGTCAGGCCTATGGAGAAAAGCTGAAACAAGCTGAGGACAGATGTGTTTGCTTTGTTGAAGCCTATTTAAAAGAGAGTTTTGTCCCCAGTCTGCTGTGGGGTTGTTACTGAAAGCCTCTTGAACCTTCCCTCATTTTTATGAGTCTGCTGAAGAGCAGCACCATAAAACCTAGGTCAGTAATCAAGCCATGCCAAACATACCTGCCCAAGTGAGAAATCCCATCCTACAGAAAGGAGAGATGGGGAGTGGTAACAAATGAGAGGTGATACTTCTTCCCCAACTTCATACCTCACCTCATCTGTGTTGGGTTTTAACAGATCAACTGTAAGGTTTCTCCAGGATCTGCAGCTGCAACCCAGTCCTGGTGTCACCATATAAGCTATTGCAGGGACTGGATTGTGTTCAAGTATCAGCCTTGGGTTGTTACGAGAGGCACCAAAACAGCAGCACTTTGGATGACCTGTTTTCACTCAGCTACCAGCAAGGTCTCAACCACATAATTGAATTAATGTATCAATTTGCATAATATAACTGATGAACTTTCCTACAAACATGGGGTGACACAAACAATGTGACGTTTTCCTAGTATCATAAATCAGAACATTTTTCTCCTCTTGCAAAATGCCTCCAAGGAAGCAGAAATGCCATGATTGGTGAGAGCTGTCACTTGGATGCTACCAAAGGCTGGCCTGGGATACACTGGCAATCAGAATGATCTTAGAGGCAGTGGGCAGTGAGGGTATCTTACCTCTTGAGATTGGCCTGCAAATCCAAGACTAGTTGGTTTTGAGGGAGAGGCCCCCACGGCAGCACTGGTCTCTGCACAGTGTGGGTTCAGCTAAAGGGCTCCTCATAATAGGATATGGCATAGACCAAACTTTGCACAGGCTCAAGAAACAACTGGGCTGATTTGCAGCAGAGAAAAGCTGCTGAGTGCATTTTAGTGCAAAGCCACCACTTGCAGCTTGGAAAATTTGCAGCACTGGACAGTGTGCTCTCATCTGTGTCTTCACTACTAAAGCTGTTCCTCATGAATCCCAGACCCTGGAGAAAAGGAGAAAAGTCTGGAGAGAGGAGGAGTTTTCCTCAGTAGAGGAAGACTGGGTTAGAGACCACTTGGCCAAACTGGACATCCATAAGTCCATGGGCTGTAATGGGATGCACCTGCACTGGCAGTTGTTATTGCTGGGCTGATCTCCATCATCTTTGAAAGGTCATGGAGAGCAGAAGATGTGCCTGAGGACTGGAGAAAGGCCAGTATCACTCCAGCCTTCTAAAAGGGCAAGAAGGAGGACCCAGGGAACTACAGGCCAGTTAGTCTCACCTCTGTCCCTGGTAAGGTGTTGGAAAATATTGTTCTGGATGTCATCTCTAAACATGTTGAAGAACAGGAAGTTATTGGGAGTGGTCAACATGAATTCACCAAGGGTAAATCGTGTTTGACCAATCTGATAGCCTTCTATGATGACATAACTGGTTGGTTGGTTGGATGAGGGGAGCACAGCAGTTGTCATCTACCTTGACTTCAGCAAGGCTTTTGATTCTGTCTCCCATAGCATCCTCATTAGGAAACTGAGGGAGTGTGGGCTAGATGAGTGGACAGTGAGGTGGATTGAGAGCTGGCTGTGTGACAGAACTCAGAGGGTTGTGATCAATGGAGCAGGGTGGAGTTGGAGGCCTGTAGCCAGGGGTGTCCCCCAGGGGTCAATACTCAGTCCAGTCTTTTTCAACATCTTCATCAATGACCTGGATGAGGGGACAGAGTGTATCCTCAGCAAGTTCACTGGTGATACCAAACTGGGAGGAGTGACTGACACTCCAGAGGGCTGTCCAATGGAATCCTGGGGCGCATAAGGAAGAGTGTGGCTGGTAGGTCAAGGGAGGTCATTGTCCCCCTCTACTCTGTCCTGGTGAGGCCACACCTGGAATACTGTGTCCAGTTCTGGGCTCCCCAGTTCAAGAGAGACAGGAAACTACTGGAGAGAGTCCAGTGGAGGACAACAAAGATGATTTGGGGATTGGAGCATCTCCTTTATGGGGAAAGGCTGAGGGACCTGGGATTCTTTAGCTTGGAGAAGAGAAGGCTGAGGGGAGACCTTATTAATGCCCATAAATATCAAAGGGTGGGTGCAAGGAGGATGGAGCCAGACTTTTTTTAGTAGTTCCCAGTGGCAGGACAAGGGGCAATGGGCACAAGCTGGAACATAGCGAGTTCTATTTAAATATGAAGAAAAAACTTCTTTATGGTGAGGGTGACAGAGCCCTGGAACAGGCTTCCTAGGGAGGTCGTGGGGTCTCCTTCTCTGGAGAGATTCAAAACCTGCCTGGATGCAGTCCTGAGTAATGCGCTCTAAAGGATCCTGCTTTAGTGGGGGAGTTGGACTAGATGATCTCTAGAGGTCCCTCCCAATTCTGACAATTTTGTAATTCCATGATCCTCTTGTGCAGGAATCTGCTGGTGTAGAAAGGATGGAGCCTAGATCTAGCTGTCCTTGTGTTTTCCACCACACCAGAAAACTCATAGCAAACTCCCAAGGCTGGCTGAGAAGAAAGGGGTCCCATTGCTACCAGACCAGCAGCTGGTGCCTTGCACAGCTCTGGTGTAGCCAACAAAGGATGAGCCAAACGTCTGGAACAGCCATACAAGCCCTGTTTCCCAGGAGGAGCTGGGAGCCTGAACCTTATTTCCTCTGTATCAGAGAATAACATTGGCCACATTACCTCTCTTCAACCTGTTCTCTCTCCTTTCAGGGTGACATTTGCATGTGGCCTTCATTAAGGCCATGTCTGTGGCCTTCATGAGGCCATGTCTGTGCTGTTTGTGCAGGTGAGCTGGGTTTGACACTACTCCTTTCAGGGATCTGCCGCACTGGGTGTGAAGGAAACATGCCCTTCTGAAATAAGCCTCCCTGCTCATCGAAACCAGCCTTCAAAAATGTCAGAACCAGCCTTCTGAGCACACAGATGTGAGGAGGGTGTGTATGGCAGTGACACCAGCAGGCAGGGCTACAGCAAAGCATTTTTTGGATCAGGATCAGAGGCAGATACTCCCAGCTAAACACCCAGTTTCAAGTGGAGGCTGGGAAGAAGTCAGAGGCATCCCCGGGTCATTGCCTTCTGCAGCGCTAGTATCAGAGTTGTGCATTACTTTTGGCTCTGCTCTGGATAAGCCAATTAATCCCATGCTTACCTTTTCTCCCACTTTCTCTTGCAGATATTTGGGGGTCTTGTCTGGATCCTGGTGGCTTCCTCGAGGGTCCCAACACCCATCCTTCAAGGCTGGGTGATGTTTGTCTCTGTGTTCTGCTTTGTCATGTCCACAACCCTCCTGTGCCTCTACTTCTGCGGGGCACATGGAGGCAGCAGCTCCTGGGTCACCTTGGTAAGTGGATGTGGCAAATCTCAGGGCCTCTCCCCTCCCTGATATCACTGGTAGACAGTTGTCTCCTTTGATGCTACTGCACTCCAAATCACGGGCTGTGGTTTGCTTGAGTGGGTTCCTTTTTTTTTTTTTTTTTCCCTTTGCAAAGTGCTCTCTCCTTGGAAATGACCATGTGATCCTTGTTTCTTAGGATGCCATCTGCCAGGCAACAGCAGCTCTGTTCTACCTCAGTGCTGCTGTGTTGGAAGCCTACTTCACCTATGCCATCGGCTTGGCGTCTGACAACCCTCTGTTAGCAAACATCTACAGGGAAAACATTGCTGCTGTGGTAAGCAGGGGAAGGAAGGTGAGAAGGTGACTGTGGAGTGGCTTCAAGGCCTAATTGTTACCTTGCACCAGCCATTCAGGGAGGGGGGAGAGGACCTTGTCCCAGTCCTATTACACATCAAGGTCTCCAAGCGTGCAAGAGTTAACAGTAATGTCATGCATCATGAGGTGTTTGCTCAGTGCAGGAACTCATACCATATAATAAAAAGTTAACTGGCTGATGTGTTTTTCCACTGTAGGTGTTTGCATTCTTAGCTACCCTGGTGTACGTGATCCATAAAGTGTTCTCACTCCTGCGATGGAAATCATCCTAAGAGCCTCCTCTTGCAAGTGTCTTGTGGTCACCCCATGGACACGAAGCCTGTTCCAATGACTGCAGTTTCCAGACTGGGTTTGGGGTTTGTTTTGTAATATATATACTATAAACAAGCAGCTTTTCATGTGGGACCATGGCATTGAAGACTAAGAGCCTGCCAGGGAAAGCTGTTTCCTGGCATGATCCGTTCCCATTTAGCCTCTTCTGGGTTAGGTACAGTTTTATGCTGGTAATTGGTGCCCAAATAGAGAAAAGTCCAGCTCTAAAATGAATAGTTGGGATTAAAGTGCTATAATCTCCCTGAACCACACCTTTATGCCTCCAGGGTTGTTACTGCTATCAGGGGAAGCCTGAACAACCAGCACTAAGGAGCATGAGTATGAAACCGGGTCATTTTAATTGCTGCCCATCCATGTGGGCCTGTTTCCCTCCCTAAACTTGCTGTGCCAAAAGAACATTTTCATGTAGTTTCTGCACATGCTCTCTCTAAGTTATGATGGGAAACTGGGACAATACCTCGCTTCCCTCCGGGGCAATATGAGCCATTGTAACCCCTGGGGAGTATCGCTGAGGCACAACCATCAAGCCAGAAATTACCGCTGTCAAAAACACCCCTTCAAAATCCAACCCTGAAGGTGGGTGGTAGACTGTAGAAAATTCATATGGATGATTAGAGTAACATCTTGAATAAGCAGAGGCAATCATCTCTTGTCTTTGGTGCATGGCTGCTCTCACATACCCCAGCACTATGCTGCTAAAAAAGAAGATGGGGTTGCTGTGATTTTGCAAACAGGTGAGAGTAATTTCTGCTGTTTTCCCTTTGCTGCACACAGGTACACACCCCTGTACAGCCTCAGGAGCACTGGGCAGTAACAGGGCAATGCCAGAGCAGAAGGCACAGACTTGGGTGTGACTGAGAGGGCTTTTTTGGCAATGGGAGCCTGTGGGGCTGGGGGATAAACCAACTCAGGTTAATCTCACTGAATGTTAGATGTTGGAAGGGACCTCTGGAGATTGTTGAGTCCAACCCTCCTGCCAGAGCAGGACCACCACAGAATCTAGGGCAGGTCACACAGAAAGGCATCCAGATGGGTCTTGAAAGTCTCCAGAGAAGGAGAGTCCACAACCTCCCTGGGCAGCCTGTTCCAGTGCTCTGTCACTCTGTCACCCTTGCAGTAAAGAAGTTCTTCCTCATGTTGAGGTGGAATGTCCTGTGCTCTGGTTTGCATCTGTTACCCCTTGTCCTATCACAGGGCACAAAAAAAAAGAGACTGACCCCTCTGTCTTTGACACCCACCCTTCAGATATTTATATACATTAATAAGATCCTTTCTCAGTCGTCTCAGTGATCTTCATCTGAATGCATAAATTACTCTAGAGTAATTACCTGAATGTGCTAGGTTTGGCTGGGAAATTTTCTTCATAGTAGCTAGTATGGGGCTATGTTTTTGATTTGTGCTGAAAACAGTGTTGATAACACAGGGATGTTTTTGTTACTGCTGAGCAGTGCTTAATGAAGTGTCAAGACCTTTTCTGCTTCTCGCACCAACCAACCAGTGAGTAGGCTGGGGGTGCACAAGAAGTTGGGAGGGGACACAGCTGGGACAGCTGACCCTGGCTGACCAAAGAGGGATATTCCATACCATATGATGTCATGCTCAGCAATATAACCTGGGGGAAAAAAGGAGGAAGGAGGAGATGTTCAGAGTTGTGACATTTGTCTTCAGAAGTAACTAGTGTGTGTGATGGAGCCCTGCTTTCCTGGAGGTGCTGAACACCTGCCGTGCTGATGGGAAGTGATGAATGAATTCCTTATTTTTGCTTTGCTTCTGTGTGTGGCTTTTGTGTTACCTATTAAACTGTCCTTAGCTCAACCCATGAATTTTCTCACTCTTGCCCTTTCGTGTTCTTTCCCCCATCCCACCAGGGGGATGTGAACAAGTGGTTGGTGGTGCTCACTTGCCAGCTGGGGTTAAACCACAACAGTGAATCAATTTAAATGTGACTTAAATGAAAAAAGGGTGTTTTCACATGTCAGAGGTGTCTAATAAACAGTACCAAATTAGTCCTTTCAGTTTGTGGGGCAAAAAATGCTTCCATTTTCAGTCTGAAGTTCCCAGATAGTAACAAAGGCTAGAGAATGGAAGGGAAATAAAAGTTGACTTGAAGGCACCTCTGTTGCTTCAGATTCAAGAGGGGCTTCTGAGCTATAACCAAGGGTTTGGGTGGAAGCTTTTAATTGCAATGTGAGGAAAACATCAGGATTTTTTTGTTTTGTTTTTTACCTTGCTGAAAACCAGTCTGACCTGTTTGCATCTGTTAGTGTGACAAAAGTGAGCTGATTGCAACACAGGTAGGAAAAGGAATCCCTTTTCAGAGCTGGGAGGCTTTGGAAACCACCACTTTGGACAAAGGCACTTCTGAAGGTTAATATTCACCTGTTGAAACTGGTTTCAATGGCATGTCATCAGGAGGTGTGTATGTTGGTGCCCTTACTTGCCCTGCTTCCCTTAACACCCCAGAATTTAGCATGAAAACACAAAGATGCCTTCCTGTTTTGGTCCATTTCCAAAGGCTGACATTTGTGGTCATACCCTGGATGCTGGGATGGGACATCTCTGTCCAACTTCTGCACCCAGGTGTGGCCAGCACCTCTACACCAAGCAGTGATTTTACATCCCCTCACATCCCTACACACATCTCTACCCTTTGCCCATTGCATTTGTCTTGGCAGGGCTCCCATCTCTCCTCCCCCAGTTCTTTCTGCCTTGCTTTGCCCTTTGATTCTCCCTTCCCCGCCACCCCCAGTTTGCACCAGGCTGCACTAGTTCAGCTGCTCAACCCTTTCCCTCTGGCCCCACCTAGTTTGCTGAGATGCCTGCCCCGCAGCAATAGCACAACCTTTCTGTAAACCAGCACTGGAGAATAACAGCTGGGTGCTGCTGGCACGGGAGTGCTCACCAGCCCCAGTGCAGCTGAGGAGTGGGCTGAGACAAGGTTGTGGATGTGGCCTTGGGAGACAGAGACTCTTGTGAGCCAAGTGTAACCTGGGTCAAGTCTTGGTTCTGGGAGGGCTGGCCAGAGAGAAGGGCCACCACAGGGTCAGGAGCATCCAAATGAATTGATAGAAAGGGCTGTGATTTTTAAACCTTTCCAGTGTGGCCTCATCTTCACTCCCATGCAGCTGGACAGCCTGCAGGTGAATGAGTGTCCCTGTTTGGCCCAGGGCTGCTAGGCCCCAGCACAGGACAGTGACACAGGGAGCTGTGGCTTTAATCCAGCAGGCTGCTGAATTGTACTTACCAGGTGCCAGGTGGGTTGCAGCAATATGCATGTTCCCTGCATGGTGGAAAGAAGGGGAAAAGAAAGAAAATCATAGAATTATAGAACCATCCTGGCTGGAAACGACCTTGAAGATCATCAAGTCCAACCATAACCTAAATCCCTCTACCATAACCTAATCTACCCATTCAGTACTTAAATCATGTCCCTAAGCACTACATCTATATTACTTTTAAACACTTCCAGGGATGGTGACTCCACCACCTCCCTGGGCAGCCTGTTCCAGTGTCCAACCACTGTTTGGTAAAGAAATTCTTTCTAATATCCAGTCTAAACCTCCCCTGGTGCAACTTGAGGCCATTTCCTCCAGTCTTGTCATTATTCACTAGAGAAGAGGCCAGCTCCCACCTCCCTGCAACCTCCTTTCAGGTAGTTGTAGAGATCAATGAGGTCTCCCCTCAGACTCCTCTTTTTCAAACTAAACAATCCCAGTTCCCTCGGCCCCCTCCTCATAAGACTTATTCTCAAGACCTTTCACCAGCTTGGCAGGTCTCCTCTTCTCTGGACATGCTCCAGCAACTCAACATCCTTCTTGCAGTGAGGGGCCCAGAACTGCACACAGTATTTGTGGTGCAGCCTCACCAGTGCCGAGTAAAGGGGCACAATCCCCTCTCTACTCCTGCTGGCCACACTATTCCTGATGCAGGCCAGGATGCTGTTGGCCTTCTTAGCCACCTGGGCACACTGCTGGCTCATGTTAAATCAGCTGTCAACCAGCAACCCCAGGTGCTTCTCCACCATGGACCTTTCCAACCACTCATCCCCAAGCCTGTAGCATTGCCTGGGGTTGTTGTGAAGGACCAGGTATTTCCTTACATGAACATGAAATGTCCTTTGAGTCAGCCGACAAAACTGACTTAAAACGGTGTCTCCACGCGGCAGGAACCCCCCTCTGTGTGTGTGTGGGGGGGGAGCAGCTGCTGCAGGGGAGGAGCCGTGGCCGGAAGCAGGGGCGGGACTAGGTCCCGTCTGATTGGCTGAAAAGCCCGGAAATGCAAAACTGGCGCCGAAGAACCCCA